TTTTTGGATTTTTACTCTCAACTTTATCCATTTCACACATAGTCTCAATTGGAAAGTCATTAGCATTAATTTTAAACACTCCAGTTTGAGTGACACCATTATTGTAATGTTCTTGGCAACTTTTTGCAATTCCTGTTACTAAAAAAAAAGTTATATATAAATAATAATAATTTGCTATATATATATATATATATACATATATATATATATATATATATATATATATATATATATATATATATATATATATATATATATATATATATATATATATATATATATACATATATATATATATATATATATATATATATATATATATATATATATAATACATATACGTTTTATATATATATATATATATATATATATCTATATATATATATATATATATATATATATATATATATATATATATATATATATATATATATATATATATATATATATATATAATACATATGCATTTTATGTATATATATATATATATATATATATATATATATATATATATATATATATATATATATATAAAATGTATATATATATATATAAATATATATATATATATATATATATATACATACATACATACCTACATACATACATACATACATACATACATACATACACACATACATACATACATACATACATACATACATACATACATACATACATACATACATACATACATACATACATACATACATACATACATACATACATACATACATACATACATACATACATACATACATACATACATACATACATACATACATACATACATACATACATACATATACTCATACACACTCATATATATACCTATAAAAATTTCATTTACATTTTAATGAGTTTGCAAAGTTTTTTTTTTTGCATTTTATGGTTAAAATTCTGCAAATATATTTAGAACTACAAGAAATAAGTTTTTTACAAATGATCAGTAATTTGAATGTTGAAAAACAGTGGCAGTGTATATTGTATACTGCTACTTAATTCTAACTTAAGGGTCATTCCAGCTCAATTCAATTTATGCTCGGCATAAATTGAATTGAGCTGGAAATCATGCCATCTCAGATTTTGCTGATTTTTAGAATACAAGCTTGATTCAATAAAAGAAAACTTCACTCCAAATTTTAGTGTCTGACTCCTTACGGTTTCAGAGATATTGGTACTTGGTCCCAACCTCTTTTTTGACATTTTTTTTCATCGCCATTTATTTTTTAGGCTCATTGCACGACACAATTAGCTTTACCTTATGAAATACTTGTTTAATAGTAGTCAAAATTTCTACCTAACTATTTTTTAGGGTGAGAAACTAAAAAATGATGGCTAAAACACACAAAAACTCTTCTATATAAAAATTCATTTTCAAAATGGTGTAACACTTTTTGTAAGTTTTTTGATGCCCTGTACAAAAAAATGTTTATCTCAAGATGCCTAAAAGATAAAATTCTGAAATTTTTTCCAAATGTTCTATATGTATCAAACTCCAAAATACAAAAAATCTGGAAGGGTTTTCTTTTTTAAATTAGATTTATTTGCATTTAAAGTTTTATTTAAAAAATTAAGAAAAACTGTTATTTAGTAATAAAAAAAACAATTTGCATAAATTTTTTGCATTTTTAAAAAAAATTATTAGAATCTTGCTGTGTAAGGCACGGTTCTAATATATAAACTTGTTTGCATTTCACATAAAAGATCTTTATTTTATGCAATCATTATGTTTAATAGCTAATGGATTTTCTTTTTTCAAAATCTTTAAACAATAATTATTTTAAAATTGTTTCTTACAGATCTAAAAAATAGTATAACAATATGAATGATAAAGAAAGATGTTCAATTGGAATAATAAATAAAGAAATTTGTAACAAACAAACATATGTAAAATCTCATGATATCATGGAAGTTTTAAGTCTTAATAATGTGGAAAAAGATTTGATAAATAGTCGTTCTCGCATTCAATTTGATGAAAATGCAACGGTTTGCCTACACCATGAATATGTTTATTTAAAACGTTACTCTACAATCCACATAACTTGCTGTGATCCATTTAATTCACGCAATGGAAAAAAAAGAAAAGGTATTATTACTTAACCATGAAACTTTTTTAAAACTTATTGTAATTATTATTAAATTATATATATTTTTGCATAATACTCACTGAAGCAGTAATTATCACTCATGTTTTTAGGAGGATGTAAAGAAATTAATATGCAACTTGCTGGGAAATCAAAAAATATTGATATAAATGCTATTCCTGGAGAAAAGATATTTCCCTCGTGTATGATTAAATTGATATCATTTAAGGATGATAAGCAAAGAGAACCAACTTGTAGCCAGATTTATAAAGATGAAGATAATGAACTTAATATAAATGAATTGTTAAAAAAAAATCTTAATTCTTCGTTGACGACTATGAACATAAGTCCTCTCAAAATGCATGCTGTAAATAGTCACTCAAGAGTTGCTTTTGGCAAAAAAAAATTGTTACATATTCAAAAAACAGTAAAGTTAGGTATTGCAAGGACTGTAAATATAGATCCTGAACAGTTAAGTAAAGAAGTTTCCTTCAATAAATTATCTAAGAAAGTTAAAGGTAAAGCAAATGACATGAATATACTTATTAGAAAAATCAAAGAAAAAATGTTAATTTCCAATCGTAATCAGAAAATTCAACTACTAACACTGGTTCCAATTTCTTGGTCTCACAAAGATATAGAAAAAGAATTTAATGTTACTAATTATATGGTGCAGATATCAAGCAAATTGCTGCAGAAAAATGGTATTTTATCTTTTCCTGAAAAAAAAAAAGGAAAGGAAATACCTCAAGAAACAGTAGATAAAATTATTGAATTTTATTGTAATGATAAAAATAACAGGCTAATGTCTGGTAAAAAAGATTTTGTTAGTATAGCTCGAAGATCTCTTATAAAAAAGCGTTTGATTCTTTCAAATCTAAAAGAGCTATATGCAAAGTTTAAAACCTGTTATCCAGATATAAAGAGCAGTTTTTCTAACTTTTGCTCACATCGTCCAAAATGGTGCATTACAGTTGGAGCATCTGGTACGCATACAGTATGTGTGTGCACCTACCATCAAAATGTTAAGTTAATGATTAGTGCAGTTAAATTATCAAAGTATTATCACCAGCTTATTGATATGCTTGTTTGTAGTAGGGCAAACAAGACTTGTATGATACATCATTGCCCTTTGTGCCCAGAAGATTCTACATTCGTATATTATCTTGAAAATGAGTTGTACTCTCAAGACGATATTGATGAAGATGATGATTATTGTATAGATTACAAACAATGGAAAACAACAGACCGACCTGAACTATTAAGTCTAACAGAAACGACAAGTAGCTTTATTAATACTTTGAAAAATAAGTTACAAAAACTTACTGTTCATTCTTACATTGCAAAAAGTCAAGCTGCTTCTTTAAGAAAGTTAAAAAATGAGTTAAGTAGTACTGAGGTCATTGTCTTTTGTTATTTCTCAGAAAATTACGAGTTTGTTGTACAAGACGAAATACAAAGTTTTCATTGGAACAAAATTGAAGCCACATTGCATCCAACAGTAATTTATTATAAAGAAAATAATGTCCTCAAATGTGATTCAATATGTTTCATCTCAGATGATTTACTGCATGATGTTGATATGGTTTATCATGTGATGAAGCTAACAATTGAACATATTAAAAGCAATATTTCTCATCAAATAGAAAGTGTCCATTACTTTTCAGATGGGTGTGCTGGCCAGTACAAGAACTGCAAACACTTCGTAAATATATGCCACCATGAACAAGATTTTGCTATGAAATGTACCTGGTCTTTCTTTGCAACAAGTCACGGTAAATCACCCTGTGATGGTATTGGTGGGACTCTAAAAAGACTGACTTTAATTACTAGCCTTCATCGAACAACAGCAAATCATATTCTTACAGCGTCTGCAATGTTTAATTTTTGCCAAAATGAAATCATAGGAATTAATTTTTATTACATATCCAAGGAGTCAAATACAATAATTCGAAGTGAAATGGAGAAAAGATATACAACTGTAAAAACGTTACCAGGCACTCATAGCTATCACAATTTCGTTTCAATAAGTAACACAAAAATTGGAACTAAAATCGTTTCTGAAAAATTGGAGTATTCATTTGTTTTTAATTTTCAAACTGATGAGATTATTAAAGAATTCTTGTCTAATATAAGCATTGGTGTGTTTGTATGTTTGATATATGATAACAATCCATGGATCGGACTAGTTGAGGAAATTGGTGTTGAAAATAAAGACTTTCAAGTTAGTTTCATGCATCCATGTTACCCTTCAAGGTCATATTTTTGGCCTTCTAGAGATGATGTTTGCAGGGTTCCATCAACAAACTTATTGCTAATGATTAATACTCCAACAACTGTTACAGGAAGACAATACAAAATTGCGTTGAAGATAGCTGGGCAAACTTTAAACCAGAGAACTTATTTGTTATCTGTCAAAGATTTTTAATTCTTATTTTTTTTAAATGTCAAAGATTGTTAATTCTTATTACATTTTAGTTTTAATTTTTCTTATTGTAATTTAATTCCATGCTTTTAGTGTGACTTTAATATTTTTTTGATTTATTGTTGTAAGACTTTAAATGCAAATAAATTTGATTTAAAAAAGAAAACCCTTCCAGATTTTTTGTATTATGAAGTTTGTTACATATAGAACATTGGAAAAAATTTCAGAATCATATCATTTAGGCATCTTGAGATAAACTTTTTTTTGTACGGGGCATCAAAAATCTTACAAAAAGTGTTACACCATTTTGAAATTGAATATTTATATAGAAGCTTAAATTTTTTAACGTTTTAGTCATGATTTTTGAGTTCCTCACCCTAAAAAGTAGTTAGGTAGAAATTTTCATTACTATTGAACAAGTATTTCATAAGTTGAAGCTAATTGTGTGGTGCAATAAGCTTAAAAAATAAATTGCGCTGAAAAAAAAAAAAGTCAAAAAAGAGATTGGGACTGAGTATCAATATCTCTGAAACCGTAAGACGTCTGATACTATAATTTGGAGTGAAGTTTTCTTTCATTAATTTAAGCTTTTACTCCAAAAATCAGCAAAATCCAAGATGGTATGGTGCCGAAATTTTTAGTTGATTTGACACGGAATGACACTTAAATGATATAAATCTTATTACTAAATGACAATGTTTACACATGTAAAATAAATATACAAACAATGTATATTTTGAGATCAATTCTGTTGTATTTTCTAATATAGAAAATAATACTAAATGCGGCTAGTGCAAAACATGTTGGAAAAGCTAGTGGAATAAGAATTCTTTATCTGTTGGGTACCCGCTTCAGAAATTTTCTCTAGATTGACTTACGACCAATGGGAAAATTTGTCGCAGAATTTACTTGGATTAATTTACTCGGAGTTATGCAACTGCAATCAAAACATCGTCATCCAAAATTGGATTTCCTCTGGCGAGTACAGACAAGCTTAAATGAAGTGGTGGTATGTGTTATGCTGATAGGAGAAATAAAATGTTAAATTTATGCATCATAAGAGAGCTGGTTAAATTTTAGAATAATGGAGGCAACTATGATCACTGATAAACAATAAGAACAGAGTAGATCCTAGAACATTTTCTAGTGGAACATCGCTTGTTTCAGATATAGTGTGGGAAGTCACATTGTATCAATTAACCACTTGTGATCTTGTGTGAAGAAAACCAGTTAGCCAATTCAGAAAATTGCAAATTATTTGGTAACCAGGTAATTTTATTCGTAAGTTAGGATCTTAAACAGAATCAAATGCTTTTTTTAAATCAAAACAAACAATAGGAAATGGTCAGTAGGAATGTGGTGCGGCCATTTTAAAGGTCCAGTCATGAATACTTTCCAGATTACAGATTATAAATACAAATGAAACCATATTGTTTTTTTGGGATTAGGTTATTTAGTAAAGGATGATTTATTAGTTTTTTATTAATAATCTTTTACATTACACAACAACAAGTATATTTCAAAGAAACAAGTACTTAATACTTGAAAACAAGTCTATAAATACTTGGGTCAGTTGTTGGTCCATTGTTATGGATGGAATGACTTTTGCTACTTTTAAGTTTCCTGGTAAAGCACTTTTTAATCAAACAAATGGCTTCGTTTGATTTAAAAACAGCTCCTAAATAAACTTAAAGCAACGCTTTAGTAGAATTTTTTTATTTGGAATGTCATCCAGACCAGTAGATGTTTCTGGTTTAAGCAACCTTAGTGCTTTTTTTACAATAGAAGGAAATAAGTTAATGGACAACAGACAAATCGAATGTGCATGTAGGCGATCTATAAACTTAAGTGAGAACCCAGTATCGATTGTAAAAACACTTGCAAAAAAGTTATAAAAATTTACAAGATAGTTCTTTATTGTTTTGAAAAAGTATATTATCAGATTAACAAATCTGATTGAGTTTATTGCTCGATTTAAATTAGCTTTTTACAAAGTATATATATATATATATATATATATATATATATATATATATATATATATATATATATATATATATATATATATATATATATATATATATATATATATATATATATATATATATTTATATATAAATTATCTACTATAGCGTATTTATGTGCACAATTGCTCACTTTTTTCGCTCATCCAAATCGATTATATTACAATCGGGTTTTTTAGAAAAAAAAGAAGATAACAAAGAATAATGAATGAAAAGGTTGCTGCTCCATTCCAAACCTTTAGGTTATGTTTATTATAAAATAATCACATGCCCATGACGTTTTGAATAAGTCTGTCGATTATTGATCATTTTTGTATATAATAATGTATTTTTTTTTTAGATTTTCAATCTATTGGCCACACATTCTTGATGAACAATATAACAATGTTTTTATCATTATAAAGTCTGCTGAGTTCTAAATGTATTATGCAAATAATCAACAGGTATTCTTCATTCGATAGACCCAGACCTGTCTTTACGCATGTCCAGCCTAGGCAGCTGCTGCGGGGCCAGGGCATTTAAAGAGGCCAGCAAGGGATCAATTTTTTTTCTTATAAACTTTAATAATAAAAATAAAAGTGCAATGGCGTTTTTTTTAATTATTTAAATTGTTTTTTATTTACTAAAACAACCATAACTCCTAAATAATATTTTTA